GAGGCGGATTCTTAACCACTGAGCCACGAGGGAAGCCTTCTCCTCTCATTTCTGATGGTTCGTATTTTACTTCTTCCAAGGCACTGGGAAACAAAGGCAGGAGGAGGAACAGGGCTCAGGTGGGGAGCAGCAAACTCCGGCTTGAGTCCCCCACACGGCCACTTGGGGGCGACAGACACAGTCTGATAGGCAGCCGGGGTCGGAGTCGAAGACCCCTGAGGTCCGCGGCACCTGCTAGGCTCCTGGACCATGAAGACGCTTTTCCTTCTATTTCGGGCGTGTCCAGGCCCGGGGGACGCTAGCAGGGGTCTTGGGGCGCGGAAGGGCCGCCCCCAACGCGGCCGCCCTCGTTCCAAAACCCACACCCGGCAGCCTCTGAGGCCGGAGATCGCTCTGCTGAGGTTCCAGAGCAGTTCTAGGTCATTAATTAATCAGTGGGCAATTAGCTTATATTTTCCTGGACTAGTGCGGATTCGTGCGGAGGGACGAGGAACAGGAGCTTCCTCCTGGGTCACCCTGAGGCAGTAGCACCCGGGAGATCAGGGAAGGAGGCTTCCCAGGCTTCCAGCGTGGGTGTGGACGAGGGCAATGGCCTGCTGGCCAGAAGGCCTGCGTTCTCCTCCCAGCTCATATGCCAACAGTCTGCGTGGCCTTGGGCAAGGCATTTAACCCGGCTGGGCATGTGTTACTGCAGTAGACACTGTTGTTTGGCTCCCAGACATCTGTTCCCTTTCTTTCTCTTTGGCAGGTAGTGCCCACCCCTCCAGGGAGATTTACTCCAGCGCGGCATCTGGCCCAGTTGGGCTCGGCCCACCGTGTTGGTCCTGTTTCCCTCGTCAAATGCTGGCTCCTTGAAAGTACTATCCAAGCAGGCTGTTGCAAAGACAGAACTGAGTTTGTTGCTTCCCTTGTTCAGGGAGAGCAGCATCTTGAACGAGTCCTTAGTGGAGAGGAGGTGGGAAGGGCAAAGTTGAGATAGTGAGGTTTGGGGGTCTGGTTTAAGGTGGACCTTAATGAGGATTGGGTAAGAATCATGTTATATAGTTTAAGGTTGTTGGTCACAGTAGTTTAGGGTTTGTCGTCTCAGCGAGGTGAGGGTTTCAGAGTCTTGGAGCTTCAACAGTTGTTTGATGTTACCTTTTAAAAAGTGGTGCCATTTTTGATGGATTTTTCTGAAGTCAAGGAGTAAAGTTATTTGCACCTTTTGTCCTCCCGGGCAGGTGTTTCCGGGAATAGTAGACTCACAGTAATAGTCGTTATTTTGCCTCAGCCAGTGTGAGTCACAGTCCTCTGCTATTTGCACCCAGAGGAATCCTGTATGTGGTTTTCTTGTGCGTGAAATGGGGATTATGCTGCGGGGGGCACGGGGGGCGTGGGGGGCGTCGGGGGCGCGGGGGGCGCCGGGGGAGCTGGGCATGCGTGAGAAGACCAAGGTTGCAGCCTGTTGGAGCCTTTCAGTATTACAGCACGGTGGGGCTTACAAAACTGTCTGCGTCTTGAAAAATAATTCTTACTCTCAAATCCGAAAAGGGAGCTGCCAAATCAAAACGAATAGATGTTTATTAAATGTCTCCAACATATCACTGTGTTCACTTGCCAACTGCGACTGAACGCATATAGTAACAGGGTCATTGCATTTACTTGGTAGAGGGAGGTGCACGTTCACATGTTTGATGCCATGTGGTGGAGGCTACAAAGGTTACAAATGTTCCAGGCTTATCAAGGTCTTAAAATGGCCCTGGGGTGTTTGACTCCTGGCCTTCCTACTTCCCAGTCACGTGAATTGGGGTGAGCTCCTCCCCTCTCTGAGCTCATTTCCTCCTAGGTATGGTGGGGAAGACGGTGCTTTGGGCAGGATAAGGAGGCTGAAGTGAGTTCATGTGTTGAGTGCCAGAAGTTGCAACTGAGGTGCAAATGATTCTGGAGCAGTGTCAGCCCTTAGCAGTGTGGGCTGCCCTGTGAACTGTGGGCCTAGGACAGCTGTGAGAGAGAGACTGGTCCCATGGGAAGCAAAGTTGGGAAGGACTCAGAGGATTAATCAGGTTGGGAGAGAAAGCAGGAGAAATGAAGATGACAGTAACCACTGTCTCAGCTCAGGGAGTCTGGGGCTTGTTCAGGTCAGTTCCTGCACTGGTCCCACTGACCCCCTCCCCATCCCCAGGACAGGTGCAGGGGCAACATAAAAAATATTGAACAACCAGTTCTTTACTGGCAGGAAACAATCAGAAAAGGCTGGCTGGAGACCCTTGGAGGTCCCCTGTCTCAACAGGCATTAACACCCCCCCCCTTTTTTTTTTCATTTTTTGGCCATGCTGAGTGGCATGTGGGGTCTTAGTTCCCCAACCAGGGATCAAACCCATACCCCCTGCATTGGAAGCACTGTCTTAACCACTGGACCGCCAGGGAAGTCCCCAGCATTAACCCTTTAATTACTCCCTTTGGGGGTCTAGAGGAGGGCTGGAGCAGCGGCATTAAGGGGCAGTCGGGGGCTTGAGGAAGCAGCTATTTACAGTCTGTAGGCGACATTCATTTGGGCCCCCTCAGAGCGTCCTGGCTGGATATCTGCTTTGCTAGGGAAGCATGGAGGTGGCAGGTGTGGCACAAGTGGAGGTTGGCAGCGCAGCCCAGTTCAGGGCAGGCATAGGTGAGGAGTAAATTCTGATCAGGTGGGTCCTCTCTGGGCACTCCCAGGCCCTGGCACCTGATGGCTGGGGTCTCCTGGTGAAGCCTGGGCTCCTTGGGGCTCCTGAGCCTTTGAGCTGCGCCCTCACACGGAACTTTGCTGGTCTTTCCCTTCATTTAGACTGGGGGAATTCCTTCCCCTTTTCTGTTCCTCACTGAAGCATTTCCTGTCTCCTCTTGTCTTTCCCAGCAGACCTGAGGGCAAGCTAGGTCTTGTGACCGAGTCATTAACACCTGGAAAACTAGTTCTCTTTTCCTCGAGGGCAAGAAACATGGGATCTTGAAACTCTGCCAGCATATGAGGGAAAAATATTTGCATTTCATCTTTCTATGGTAAGGAAAGGAAAGGAAAATAAATCACTATACAATTTTAGAATAGACAGTAGTTTGATAATACATGCTAAAAGCTGTATATAAGTTTATAACCTTTGACCTAGCAATATCTCTATTAGGAATATAACTTGTGGAAATAATCAGAGATGTTTTTCAAACATTTCTGAATAAGATTGTTTAATGAAGCATTCTGTACAGTAGTAAAAAGAATGAATGTCCAGTGTTAATTTTCATGTTATGAAGATAGTTTACTGGCATGGGAAGATACCAAAATATATTATATTTAGAAAACAGATTAAAATAATGTAGTAGCATGATTCCAGTAATATAAAAGGGTAAAAATAGAATCCATAGCCTGTTTTATCAGTTAGGAAAAAAGTTGCATACTGTTTCATTTAATTAAGTAATCAGTTGACTCAGCAAAAGTGGGAGCTGCTACGTGCTGTGGGTATAACAGTGAGCTGTTAAAAGTGTAATTTTCAAAAAAGGTAAAAGTATGACTTTCAAATAAATATAAAAGTGGCATGTATCAAAGATTTTAACTCATTAATGAAGGAGGAAACCATCAAGATGTTAAAACTGGTTTAAAAGAGAATCTGAAAAAGAGACATATACATGGGAAATCAGGAATGCTGAAATCAATTTACTAATAATGGATGCAAGACTGCTCAGTAGCCTAAAGCAAGGAATGTAACGTTTGGAATCATCTCTTCCACAGGATGATGAGAATGCCAACCAGCAATGCTGTCCATCCTCACGGGGTAATCAATAGCATTGGTGGGATGTGACTTGCTTTCTAGGAGCAGGAATTATTGGCATTACTATCAGTTTTCTGCCAATTAACTTCTGTCTCCACAGAGCTGTCAAATAGCCTCATCAGAGACAAACAAAAAAAAAGGATAACAGAGGGACTTCCCTGGCAGTCCCGTGGCTAAGACTACATGCTCCCAATGCAGGGGGCCTGGGTTCTATCCCTGGTCTGGGAACTAGATCCCACACGCCACAACTAAGAGTTCCCATGCCACAACTAAAGGTCCCGCACGTGCCAACGAAGATCTTGCGTGCCACAACTAAGACCCGGCGCAGCCAAGTTTATTAATTAGTTAATTTTTTAAAAAAAGAATAACAGGGTGTCACTTAAACTAAGGCCAAAGAGAAGGTGCCTGCTCTGAAGGTGCGGTCAAGACCTCCCGGTTAGATGGAGCAGCACGTGCAAAGGGCAAAGAAGAAATAGAGGCCCAAGGGGGCTGGGCGTGAGCCAGGAGTGAGGACAGGAAGGGGAAGAGGTCAGCACGGGTGGACGCTGCAGCACCTGCAGGGAGGAGACGCGAGGATTTGAGATCTCCTAAGTGCAGTGAGCACCGCTAGGGTTTTTAACGGGGAGATGCAGTGACCTAGTTGGTGTTTGGTTAAACATCTCTGGTTGCTGCGGGAGAAGAGCCTGGAGGGGACCCAGGACCCACCAGGAGGGGGGCTGGCGGGCCTGTGCCGGGGTTGTGGGGTGGGGGAGAAGGCCTGGGCTCTCCCACTCGCTTGTTCTGGGCTGGAGACCCCAGGACATGCCGAAGGATTGGTGGGAAGTAAGAAGTATTGCTGTGTTGGGCTCAGCCTATCAGTAGTAACGCTGGTGGCGAGGGGTGCCTGAGGCCTTGTCCCAGCCCCACAACACGGCAAGGCCTTCAAAGACGTGTTGTGGCTGGGCTGGCCCTTGTGGTTCTTATTATGATTGCAAGACACACCTTAGCAACAACCCTCAGGAAACTTTGGAAAGAAAACCAGATTTATTACTCACAGGTCCTGGAGGGCACACCGCACACCCTAGGGCCACACAGCGAGGTCGAGTGTGGGGGGGATGGGGGACACGGACAGGGGTCTCTGCCTTTATTAGGGTCCAAGAGTGAGGAGGCTGGGGTTTCCCGGCTTCACTCTTTGTCGAATTTAAATTCTAATTCATAGCCGAATTTAAAAGCTGAGAGTTGGGGTAGTTCCTGGTGGTCTGGTGGTTAGGATTCAGCACTTTCACTACCGTGGCCCAGGTTCAATCCCTGGTCGGGAAACAGATCCCGCGAGCCTCTCGGCAAGGCCAATAAATAAATTAATAAAACCTAAGAGTGGGAATTTGGGTTCAGGAAGGGAAAAGTGGGGTCACTCCAGTGGTCAGTTATCTAGGTCACTCAGGGCTTTCTAAACCTTTCTAATCCTTCATGTGCGGGGCCGCCTGGCTCCTTATCTGGTTGTCAGCTAGTAGCTGTGTCGCACAGCTGGCGATGTGTTCATTCGAGATGGATGTCTTGAAATGGATGCCCCAGCAACCAAAAGCTTAATGTCAGACACTTACACTGCAAATATATATATATTGGTCTCTGCCCCCCTCACCCCCGTTACTGAAGCCCTTGGAATTCCTGGGTGATTGGAGCATCTTTTGTTCTAATGAGATAATTCTTGGTGGCCTCTTTGGCTCCTGGATGGGGACTGGTCACCAGAAAGACCAAGCCATGATTAGAAGCTTGAAACTTTAAGCTCCATCTCCCATCTTCTGGGGAGCAGGGAGGGGCTGGAGATTGAGTTAATAATGGATTGTGCCCACGTGACGAGCCTCCATAAAAATCCCTAAAGTACAGGGTTTGGAAGGCATCCAGGTTGGGGAACACATCCACATGCAAGGCAGGTGGCACACTCCAGATCCATGGGGACAGAAGCTCCTGCAGTCGGGACCCTTCCAGACTTTGCCCCATGCGCCTCTTCACCTGGCTGTCCATCTGTGTCCTTTATTGTATAATAAACTGGTAAATGTAAATAAGTGTTTCCCTGAGTTCTGTTGAGTCGTTATAGTAAATTATCAAACCTGAGGAGGGGATTCCTGGGAACTCCAGATTTGTAGTCACGTCAGACAAGTGCAGGTGACCTGAGGACCCACCACTTGTGATTCGCATCTGAGATGGGGGGAGTCTTGTGGGACTGAGCCTTTAACCTGTGGCGTCTGCACAAACTCCAGTTAGTGTCAGAATTGAGTTAAATCATAGGACACACAGTTGGTGTCCACAGAGAATTAGAGAATGGCTTGTGGTGGAAAAACACACACACCTGGTGTCAAAAGTATTCTATGTGTACAGGAAAGGAGTTTTTCCTTTACAATTGGTTATGGGTGGGGAGGAAAAGGCTAAATCAAGGATGGCTTGCAGGCGTGTGGCTTGAGCAACTGGGTGCACGGTGGTGCCGTTTTCTGAGACATGGTGCCTGGGGAGTGTCTGAATTTGAGGGAACCTCCAGATTCCTAGTTAAAGATGCCTGGTGGGAATCCAGATCCCCAGTACCCAGCCTGTGTCTTGCAGGCACAGCTATGGACTGCAAGTCGGGGGTGTCTCTCTCCCTGGGCCCCTAGATCAGGGGTATCCCAATCCCAGCTGCCAACTGACTCCCCCAGAGCTGTCTGTCCTCCTGGCAAGAGAAACGTCCACACTCTGACTTACCCAGAAGCCATTCATTGGCAGTAATTAGCACAGTCACTTATTTCCCTGGAGGGTTGATGGGGGAGGAGGAACGTGGCTGGAGGCAGGTGGCTCTCCACCCTGCAGGGGATGCTGGAGCTGGTTTCTCCACGCCTCCTCTCTGGCCAGCATCACGTGGCTGCCCAGCTCATGGCTCAGTAGGTACCCCACAGGCAGACCTGCAGACTCCAGCTCTGTGTCCAGCTCACCTATGGAACTGGGGGCCTCTCATTCTCCACCTACCCCTAGCCGAAGTTAATTCTGTACAGTCACTTCCTCTCCATGAGCCCTTGGCCATGACCTCTGACCTCACAACTCCTAGGTCTGCGAGTCTTTGATGAATCACCAAGAGTGCTAGAAGTGGCCCAGGCCGGCAATGGGCACCCAGCAAGGCAGTTTGCCCGGCGTGCCCACTCCCTCTGCCCTTCCCAGCACAACTCTTCCCATCAGGCTCCGTCTGGGCTCAGCCCTTCCCAGCATGGGGCTCCCCTCTCTGTTTCCTGGTGCAGAGGAATTGCAGTCCTTCCAGACTGATTTCTCAGTGTTGCAGTGAGAGTCATTCTAGTTGGTCCTGGGTAGGAGGAAGAGCAGTGTGCTTGACTGGTGAAGGACGCTCTTAGTCATGGAGGAAAGGAGACCTTTCCAATGACATTTCTGTAGGATGACTGGCCACCTTCCTCCCTGGTGATTCCCAGCCAGGCTGGTGGCATATTTTTCCAGAACAACAGGAGTCAATGGGGAAAACGTGCTCTAAGAATTCTGATGTACAGCCAACTTTTCCGAAGAAGGAATAGGTTATGAACAAAACCTAGGAGAATGCTCTAAGCCATGGAACGAAAACTCTGGAGGAAGCTGACATGGAGACCTGCCATCGAGAAAGAGATGGACCACTAAGGAATGGAGGAACAGGTATAAGTGCAGTTTTTTAAAAAGTGCTGAAAGTCTCAGTGGACCACGAGAATGAACAATGCTCTATATTCCAGGAAGACATTAACCAGAGTGAAGATACATGGAGTCACACCATTAACACCTGGACCCTGGATGTCCAGCATTCAAAGAGTCAGACAGTGGTGTGGGTCAGGGAGGGGCTCTGTGTTTAGAAAGTATGGGGTTGAGGAAGGGACTGGGGAGGAGGGACCCCTAAGACTACAGAAAGGAAGGCTGGCAAGGAGGGGGACGCTCAACTTCCATTTTGAGGAAATGTCAAGAGGACAGGCAATGCTGTTATAAGATGGAGAAAATTTTATTTCGCAGAATTTGGGGTGGGGGGTGCGGGTGGGGAGTGCCTGGACTACACAGTCCAGGGTCCGAGAGCCTGAAGATGGGGAAAGGATTCGGTGTGCACCGATGAAGCTGGGATTCTCGTGGAAGGGAGTAGAAACAGAACTCTGGGGCTGGGACTGGGGTAAGCAGAACCGAGAGGGCCTTGAGGAGCCTGGGCAGAGGTAGAGGAAATGCGAGGCCTGGGGCCATAGGAGCCATGGCGAGGCTCTGAGGGGGACCCAGGCTTTTGGGATGGGGAGACCTTTCCAAACATCACTGGAAATGTCTCCTTTCCTCCATGACTAAGAGCGTTCTTCGCCCCAGTCTCCAAGAGGCAGGGAGCCCCGAGTGACAGCCGAGCTCCCAGGACAGTTCAGGAGTGGCTAGATGGAAGGATGTCCCCTCAGGAAGATGATGAAATGCCAGCTGGTGAGCAGTGTCCTGGAGACCAGCCAGGCCATGTTCCTCAAAACCATTAGGGCCCTGGAAAAACTTGCCTGCAGACAGCACAGCCTGGCTGTTGCTCAGTCGGAGCTCAGCCTGACGTGGCTGCCAGCCCTTTGCCTGAGCAGTCATGACAGACTTAGCGGGGCTGACAGGCCTCTGCACAGATGCATAAACTGAGGCCAGGTTGGAAGAAGCAGCTGCTATGTCCCTGGCTCCTTCGGAGTGCTCTGCTTGCTCTGGGAGCTTACTTGAGTCACCTGGCAGGGATGGAGCATCTGTTCTGTCCCAAGCCCTGCCCTCTGAGCACAGGAGATACCCAAAGACGCGGTGCCCTGGCTGGCCCAAACTGCAGAGTGAGGGTGGGTAAGTGGGGCTGGACTGGAATCAGGCCTCTCAGCCCAGCGGGGCCCAGTGTTGCCACAGCTTCTGAGGTTCATGAAACAGTGGATATTCAGATTTCTTTTTCCATTTTTTAATTGTAGTGAAATATATATAAGATTTATCATTTTAGCCATTTTTAAGTGTACAGTCCGATGGCATTCCATACATTCACAATGTTGTGCAACCATCACCACCATCCGTCTCCAGAACTCTCATCTTCTTGAGCAAACTCCTTTCCCATTAAACACTAACTCCGATCCCCCCTCCCCCAGTCTCTGGCACCCACCCTCTACTTTCTGTTGCTATGAATTTAACTGCTCTAGGGACCTCATATAGGTGGAATCATACAGTATTTGTCCTTTTGTGTCTGGCTTATTTCACTCAGCATAATGTCCTCAAGGTCCATCCATGTTGTAGCGTGTGTCAGAGCTTCATTCCTTTTCATGCTGAACAGTACATAATGGTCCACCTTTTGTTTATCCATTCATCCATCGATGGACAATGGGTTGTTTCACCTTTCTGTCTGCTGAGAATAATGCTGCTGAGAACATGGGTGTGCAAACATCTGTTTTAGCAGTGACTCAGAAAAACATTTGTACACTCGTGTTCACAACAGCATTAGTCAAAATTCAGATTTTTTTTTTTTTTTGGCCACGCTGCCTGGCTTGTGGGATCTTCGTTCCCCAACCAGGGGTCAAACCTGTGCCCCCTGCATTGGAAGCATGGAGTCTTAAGCACTGAACCGACAGGGAAGCCCCCAGATTTTTTTTTAATGTGGATTTGCCCAATTTAAAAAACACAGCAGTGCGGGTCTGACCAAACTCACTGGAGGGCTGGATTCCACACCTGGAATTCAGTGCTGATCTCAGAGCCAAGTGGCTTGCCTGGAGTTCAGAGTGACCCCCACCCCACCCTGGCTCCCCTCTCCAGCTCAGAGATCCAGCCTCTCCTTACAGAAAACAGCTTGCAACCTCCAAGCCAGGGCCAGAACTGCATGAAAATGAGCCTCAGAAGAGAGAGCAGTTCCCGCGGCCAATGCTCTCTGCTGGGTTTCTGTCTGCAGGGCTCCTACCCTAAAGCCAAGCCTCCCTTATATGGTTGGGCCCACGAGGACCCTGGTGGTCTGGTGACCTCTGCCCCGAGTACCCTGTCCCTGTGCCCTGAGCTGGTTGGCCCCTCACCCTGGATGGCTCTCCCCACCTCTTCTCCTAGTGTCCCCAACTCATCCTCTGGAGCCAGGCTCAGTGTCACCTACACAGGGAGGCCGGGTGGCCAGGCCAGGCCCCCTTAGCCCCTGTGCCTCTCCTTTGCCACTGGAATCCTCCATCCCACCCACCAAGCCTTTGAGTTTGCTCTTCCTGCGGCTGGAATGGTCTCTGACCACACCTGCCTCTGCCCCTCTCCTGCAAGTCTCAGCAGAAGGTTTGCACTTCCTTCCTGGGCTCCTGATGTAAGATTACAAACCCCAAAACCCCACACCCCACCTCCTGTTCCCCCTCCCATCCCCATCCCCACCCCAGAGTCCCTTCCGGCTTTGGTTTTCCCCATAGACTTTATCACCTATTAAACTAAATGATTTACTTATTTATGTTGTTTATTCTGTTTCCCCTGGTGTCCCTGCCGTGAGGGCAGGATTGTCTTTGGTTTGTTCACAGCCGTATCACAGTAGGTGTTCAGTAGATTTGGTTGGATAATGAACGGATACCCCTGATCAGATATCTGCCAGACTCCGGTGCCCACGTCTGAGATGCTGAGAGAAGGGGGGCAGTGAGTCACTTCTCTGGATTGAGCATTGCTGGCTCCAGCTGCTATGCCCTCTGAGGCCTCTGCAGCCCTATCTGTCACCCCCAGCTCGCTGCAAAATCATCAGTGGTCCCAAGACGGCCTGGCAGGGACACGGAGAGTGGGTGGCAGGGTGGGCAGCCCATCCATCTCCTGCCCCGGCGAAGAGGTGCCCAGCCACGAAGACTGGCATAGGTCTGGCATACTGTGGGCACAATGAACATTCTGTTTGAATGAATATTGAATCATACCAAGGTCTCCACTCCTTGGAAACTGGGGAGCCGGTCTGTGAGGCCCTTTTCTAGGACTTGTGCCAGGAAGTCTTCACTGGCTTTTCTGGACTTCCCCTGGTTCTTCCCGGGCCCTTCCCCTTGGGGCTATCTTCCTGGCCACCCCATCTCGAGGACAGCAACATCTTGGGGCACATGCCTGCCCCTTGGATCACCTGGGAAGTGATCCAGGTGGCATGAATGGCACGAAGAGCTGGAACACAGAGGAACTGGAGAGGCAGGAGGCTAAAGCAGTCGGTCCCCAGTGGAATTCTCCAGACTCACTTCTTCCTCACTTGTTTATTCATTCAACAAACATCCATCGAGACCCAGTGTGCACCAGGTACCAACCTAGATCCCAAGGATCCATGGGGAACCTCCTCACCGTCCCTCTCCTCTGAGAGTCGCAGCACACAGCACTCACCCTCAGGAGGGCCCTCCAGGGTCCACGCCTACAGCCCCCTCCTTCCCCGACACTCCTACCCCAGTCCCAGGCCTCTGTGCCCATCCCCCCATGACCCCTTGCGGTCATTACTTGCTCACTGCCTCCCACCCCTGGGGAGATGTGTGCTGTCTAAGGATAGGACATGTGTCTTATTCATTATCGTGTCCCAGCGCCCAGCACAGGACCTGGCATACAGCAGGTGCCCAATAAGTGCTTGTGGGGTGAGCTGGGGAGGCCAACCACCTTAGATTCAGGAAGGGAGTGGGTTGGAAGAGCATGAGGGGCAAGGCCAGCCACGGGGCACAGAGGTGGACCCAGGACAGACAGCAGGTGGGGGAGGGCAGTGGCGGGGAGCCCCCTTCCCCCACCCTGCTGGCATTTCTGCTCGACTGCTGCTGGGGCCCCACTGGAGGTGCCCTTCACCTTAGCCACTCTGTTTCCCTGCAGTCTCCCCACCCCCAGTCCTGGGACAGAGGTGAATGCGTCAGCTAGCGGCTGTTCAGGCTCCTGCACCCCACCCTTGCCTTGTCTTTGGGTGGAGTGGGGCAGGGGCCTCCACGCAGCAGGTGGGCACCTCTGGCCTGCGGTTTAATCCTGAGTTGCCTCCTGCCCCTCCAACCCAAGCAGGGGCCAGTAAAACACACCGATGGTCCTTTTTGGTACCGATGATCTCCAGGTGAGTCTCACAGACTCTTAGAACTCCTAACAGCCTGAGGAGGTGGACAGCAGGAGGGGAGTCCACCCCTGGGCAGGCTCTGGGGGCAGAACGTGTGTTGGCTAAGCTGTGGGGCTTAGGAGAAGCTGTGGTAGGCGGTCTGCCCACAAAGGACAGGGGCTGTGGTGGCAGCCCCTCCCAATGCCCCAAGCCACCCACCGGGCCCTCACTCCCTCTCTGTGACCTCGGACTTCCCCCGCACCTGGTCCTCATCCCCAGCCTCTGTAGGGTTAACTCCATCGTTTCCTTCAGCCTCCCTTTCAAGGTCCTCCTTTCTGGGTAGCTCTCACTGGCTGCCCCCTCTCCCTGCCGGCATCAGGTGCCTCCCCTGGGCTCCCACCCACCCAGCACTTTTGACCCCAGGGGGCGGGTCACCATCCATCTGCTGAACTGGGCTCCCTCAGGGCTCCAAGAGTCCAGTTGCCCCTTTTGTAGAATTGGGGTTCACATCTGGGCTCCTCCCCTCACCAGCTGGGGGACCTTGGGTAAGTCACTCACCTCCCTAAGTGGCCTCAGTTTGCTCATCTGCAGAATGGGAATAATAATAAGGGACTTTGCAGACTGAATGAGGTGGTGCCTGGCTCACTAAGCACACCGTAACTGCTGTTATGTCCATGCCCCTCCCCAGGCATATCGAGGGCCATCGCAAGGTTTGTTGATCAAATGACTGAAGGACAAAGATACACAGTCTCTCTCAGAAGAAGCCTGACTCCTCCTGCTCAGGGCGCGGGTGTCTGGAGTGTGTGGCGCTGAGTCACGGAAGACCTGACTGCAGGGTGAGGGTTACAGGATCACGCGGGCAGATTCCTTGGAGGAGCATTTCGCTTCCCACACCCCCATCTGGGCTCCCCGCTCAAGCATCACCCAGCAGCCGTTTGACCACAAGGAGGAGTCGAGGGGGGTGGTCCTGGGAGCACAGGGGCTGGGGTGGGGTGTGGGGACTCAGCATCCCAGCCCTCCCCAGGCAGCCGCATCAGTCACAGCCACCTGGGCAACTGGCTGCCCCGCCTGGGGTTCCTGGGAGTCCAGGTGAGAGATGAATCCTCAGGCTGCTGAGTGACAGGGCCCACCAGGAAGGTGTCCCCGGGACAGGTGGCCACTGGGGGTCTGATTCATGCCTTCTGGTAAGTGGGTTAACGGGATCCCCGAGCCCAGGGCTGGGTCAGGTCTTCCGCTGAGTCACAGGAGCCGTTACGGAGCCTCTGGGCAGTCCCTTGCCCGCTGTCACCCACCCAAGGCCCCAGGGCCTCCCCAACGGCTCCCGCCACTGCGGACCCAGGCCCCAGAGTCTGAGTGCCTTCCTTCCCCACCCGGACCACCCCCGCTTCAAGTTTAAGGGCCTTTCTCTGCCCTGCCCCCCCAGTCAAGGTCAAGGCCCAGCCTAGACCTGAGGGCCCAAGTTCCCTCGCCTGCCCCTCCAGAGCCCAGATCCTGAGACCTGAGTCTGCGGATCCAGGCCCAAGGTAGGGGTCCCAGCTAGAGCCCTCCAACCCCACCCCCAGCCCCACCCCCGACTTTAACGGCTTATTTCCTCCCCAAAGCCCCACCCCCTCCCTGTGACTGACAGCCCAGGGTGGCGGGACTGAGCCACTCACTCGGGAGACTGGTCCGACAGCATTCTGCCTCACAGGATAAAACCTGGGGTGGCCTGCAGGGAACCCAAGCTCTCCTGTCGGCAGTGGCCATGGTGGTTCCCGAGACTCTCCCTGCCCTGGGGAGGCACTACGTCAGGATTGTAACCTCCCTGCTGCTTCTGGCTGCTCCAGGTGAGTCCTGAGGGCCTGCTGCCCCCTCCACCCCTTCCCCATTGTCCACCCAGCCGCCCTCCCTCTTGGTCCTGCCTGAATCCCTCCTCTCCCTCTCATCTGTTGCTTTGTTCCCCCACCTCCCTCTCTCCCTCTCCCTCTCTATCATTTGCCTGCTCTGAGCCTCAGGTTCCTCCACAGCTGTGAGGAATACATGAAACACTGCACTTCAGGGCCCAGGACAGGGCTTAGCGCAGTCAGCGCTCAGTGTGCTCAGCTCTGCTTGTTATTTACCCTCTTCATGTCCCGTTCATGTCTCTTGGGTCTGCATGGTCCACTGCTGGGGCAGCGGCATCCAGACCTAAGGCCTGGGAGGGGGGTTCTCCCTCTCACCTCAGTGAGACACCCCAGGAGCTGACCCCTCACCCCCAGGTAGGCTGGATGGAGCCCGGGCACAGGCTGGACAGGAAGTTGCAGGGAGGCCAAGGCCGCAGCTCACAGCGAGGGCCTGAGGTTTCGGTCCGTCCTTCCCAGGCTCCAGGAAATGCCCCGCCTGGGGTGGCCTGGAGGGCCCCAGGGACTGAGCCACTGGGAAGGATGGCTGGGCACCAGGGCTCCCCTCCACCGACCTGACCCTTTCTTTCTCTTGCCCTCAGCCACCCTAGCTGCTGCCAAGACAGCTGGTAAGTCAGAGCTGCTCTCAGGGAAGCGGGGAGGGAGGAAGCCTGAAGGGCAGGGTAGTGTCTGTGTGTCTGTCTGTGGGGGACAGGTCAGAAGCGGGCAGTGGGGCAAGAGGGTGTTTGAGCTGAAGAGGAAGGGCAGGCAGGAAAAGAGGCCCAGAGAGTCAGGATGCGGCCCAGAGAGTCGGGATGTGGAGGAGAGAGGCCCAGGATGGGGTGAGCGGCCCGAGAAGGTAAAAGGGCTAGAGGACCAAGTGCTGAGCCAGAGGGGAGGGCAGAGGGTGGAAGGGCCAGGGAAGAGGCAGCAAAGAACGGAGCCAGGGTGGGAGGAGACTGGAGCACAGGCCTAAGTGCTGAAGGCAGGGAAGGGGGGCTGGAAGGGGTGAGGATTGTGCCTGAGGGTTTGACACACTGGCCCCTCCTCCGCCAGGCCCCCCAGCCTGTGGAAAGCCCCAACACCTGAACCGAATCGTGGGTGGTGAGGACAGCACCGATGCTGAGTGGCCCTGGCTTGTGAGCATCCAGAAGAATGGCACCCACTACTGTGCAGGCTCCCTGCTCACCAACCGCTGGGTGCTCACGGCCGCCCACTGCTTCAAGGGGTATGTACGCTCAGCCGGTCCCTTCCACTCGATTCCCCAGACCCCGGGCTGCCCACACGGCCCCGGCTTACAGGCCTCAGCAGTCTTGGGTCCCTCAGAAGAGTCCCTGCTTCTCCCCAGAAGCCTCTTTTGCTCACCAGGGGCCTTCATATGCCATTCCCCCCAGAAACCCTTCCCAGATGCTTCCTGACCACCCAGTGGTTCCTGGCTGATGCCACCCCCTCCCTCTCCCTTCTAGCCATCTGAACAAACCAGCCCTGTTCTCTGTGCTGCTGGGGGCCTGGAAGCTGGGGAACCCTGGCCCGAGGTCCCAGGAGGTGGGTATTGCCTGGGTGAAACCCCACCCTGTGTACTCCTGGAAGGAAGGCGCCCGTGCTGACATCGCCTTGGTGCGCCTGGAGCACAGCATCCAGTTCTCTGAACGCATCCTGCCCATCTGCCTGCCTGATTCCTCCGTCCATCTCCTTCCGGACACCAACTGCTGGGTTGCTGGCTGGGGGAGTATCCACGATGGAGGTGTGGCTTCTTACCCACCAGGGGGTTGAGGGTGGGTGGGGACAGAGGGTGGTGGACACTGGGAGATACAGGTGCCATGGGCAGCAAAGGACAGAGGCCAGAGGCAGAGCATGACACAGATAGAAGAAAAGACAGGCTGTGACCCAGAGATGTGATGACATAGAAGCCTAGGTGGATAGTTCTAGATCATTTCTAGTTAAAATGTACCTTTTGCTGTGTTCTGAGGCAAAGATGCCAGATCAACCAAGATATTAAATGATATAGGAACAGCTGAGAGGAGGTGTCTATGGGACCAAGCTGAACCAGATGAATATGAAAACAACCCTAAGATTCCAAATCTGGAATAAACGCCCCCTGGTGGCATCATGACACAATTGCAGGCAAAATTCCCAGGAGAAAATGCAGTCTCCATAAATGGTAAAATATAATTTGCAAACCAAGTCTGGAGGTTTAGAAAACCTCATCTAGAAACACAAATTAGATTAGATTAAGTAAGAGGCAGAGAAGCAGTGACATATATATATATGGAACTTTAACCAGATTCCAGAAGAATTAAGAGAAATGACACCAGTTTGGGCATCTGGGGACCCCACTGACCCTGAAGTTTCAGTCAGCCTCTCCACGGTCATTCTTAGGGGCTCCTATGAAAGGTGGATTTATGAACTGGGGAAGGTCTACAGAGCAACCCTAGGGTCAATCCCCCTAGGGGATGGGGGGGTCCCTCAAGTCCCAATAAGATTCAACACTGAGTGGCCATTAGTCTATAGCAGTACCAGTGCTGGACAAAGTAGTGCCTGAGATGGGACAAGGCTGGACCATTGGTTTGAACCATCTCATTGGCATCAGAGATCTCGTTAAAGATTCAGAGTTTCAGGCTGCACGTTAATTTGGGATTCAGTAGGTCCAGAGTGGAGTCCTGGAATTTGGGCTTTCTGCAGGCATTGTGGGAGAGCCTGACAGAGTTGATCCATTTAACCTTTGAGAAACGCTGCTGAGGGAATTGAGGAGGCCACCAGGAGAGTCTCCCAAGCCTGACTCTCTCCTTCCTGCTCCCAGTGCCCCTGCCCCACCCTCAGACCCTCCAGAAGCTAAAGGTTCCCATCATCGACTCAGCAGTCTGCAGCCGCCTGTACTGGCGGGGAGCCGGGCAGGGCGCCATTACGGAGGACATGCTATGTGCCGGCTACCTGGAGGGGGAGCGGGACGCCTGTCTGGTGAGCACACCACCTCCTTCCCAGCCCTGTCTCACTGAGCTCCATCACCCCTCTGCTCCTGGGCCTCCTCCCAGAATCAGCTGTGACCTGGTAGTCCCCCTAGATAGATGCCTACAGAACCCGCCCCAGCCTGGCTCAGCTGTTCATATATTAAATATTCTGAGCACCTCCAGTGTGCCTGACCCCATTCTCAGGGAGCTGGCATCCTCCTGAAGGGGTGCCACAGTCCTGGCCCCCAGAGCCAGCTCCAGCTCTACCACTGTGGCAGAGCACGGTGAGACGGTGCAATGGTCCACACCCAGGCTGGGTCAGTTTTCTTCTTTCTGAGCCTCGGTTTCCTCAACTGTGAAGCAAGTCACAATCCTCCCTGCCTCCAGGGCTGTGAGGGAGAAGGTCTAGCACAGAGTGCTTCTTACCGGAAGTGAGCCTGGGAAGTGTGTCCTTCCCCGCCCTCCCAGTCCTGGTGGCGTTGGTTAGGGTGCCGCGGCCCCCAGGTCGGAGAAATGGTCCCCCGCGAAGGGAACTGCCACCCACTGCGGCGTGGGTCCTGGGCTCTGCTCACCGCTTGCCCCACGCGGGTCCCTAACCTTCCCTCCTCTCCGCAGGGCGACTCCGGAGGCCCCCTGATGTGCCAGGTCGAGCGCACCTGGCTACTGGCGGGCGTCATCAGCTGGGGCGAGGGCTGTGCGGAGCGCAACCGGCCCGGCGTCTACATCAGCCTAGCCGCCCACCGCTCCTGGGTACAGAGGATCGTGCAAGGGGTGCAGCTCCACGGGCACTCGCAGGGTAGCGGGCCCACAGGACGCCGGGGACGGGCTCTGGGGGCGCGGCGAGCTCGCAGGGCCGCCCGGGGCCGCGGGGTTTAGGGATCTGGGGAGACCACGTGCTGTTTCCTCCGTTGTAAATAAGCGGTCTACCTCCGGGAGCGCCCGAGTGCCGGCGCTGGATCTCCTCCGCGGGGAGGCCCCGCCCCGCCCCTGGGCTCAGGCCCCACCCCCGAGGCCCCTAACGCCTTTGTGTACATACATGTTAATGATTTTTACAGTTATTTGTAACTCCGCCCACACATCTTATTTATTCCTCCAATTTCAATAAATTATTTATTCCCCAGTTCCTATTTTTTTCCCTCGGGTATGGGAACATTGGGAAGAAGGGTCCAGTCAGGGTTAAAACGGGGGTTGGCAGGTAAGACTTTGGATGGTGGTCTGGCCAGGGACCCAGGTGTCCTGCCCACCTAGGATTCAACATCCTGACTTCTGACCTTTGCACTGTCCTTTTGTAACCCCTTGCCACCAGGGAGACCAAATGGAGAGGAGACAGGAGGCCCAGCAACCTGGGAGGCCCAGCTCTCCCACATGAAATGTGGGTGTTGGGGGCTGCAGGGCCAGGCAGGTCCCCAACCTGCCTGTTGAATTTCCGAAACAGGGCTGGCTAGGAGAACACACACACACACACACACACACACACACACACACACACACACGAGTGGGGTGTCCCCCATCCTCCCTCATCTTAGAGCCAGGTGTCTCAGATTTGGGCTGAGGCAGCCAGGACTCCCCAGGAGCTGACTCAGCCAGTGACTCACTGCCGATTCTGTGAATCCTCCCCCCGGAACGAAGGAGCAAAACAATGAGACAGCAGGTCTCTGTGGGGGCTTGAGTCACCTCACCTGCCCCCACGGGGTGGGGCTGAGAGCTGAGTCCTAGGCCACCATGGGGTCTGCCTGGGACTGAGCTAATGCTCCCCTTTCCCAACGCCCACCTTCCTGCAGCCAGGCCTCTGGCCTCCTGGACCAGCCCTGCCCCTCCTCCCAGGGCCCAGGATGCTGTACCCCATCAGCGCCACCTGGGCTTCCCAGAAACAAGCGAATGTGCAGGCAGGGCTGTGTGGTTGGTTTGATGAGTATGTGCGAGAGAGAATTTTTCTAAGTCAGGAAGACGATTAGGTCCAGCTGTGCAGAGGACAGAGCTGAGTGGCTGCCTCAGGGTCTCCAACTAGAAACGATCAGTGCAGTGAGCTTGAGAAGGCAGCACAGGTGTGGTTTGGTTGGTTGGTATCCTTTACTGCGAGCACTGTTCTAAAACTTCTGTTCATATTGTCTTAGATTACCCCCATGTTAATAAGTGCTGTGGGGTTGGTCTTATTAACAAACAAACGCTAACTTGGTCTCCCGCTGGCCTGGGAACCAGCTGGGGGGTGAGCAGGTGGCTCAGGTGAGGCCCCTCCCCTTTGTGACCTGGTCCCGCTTTACCTGTCACTCTGCTTCCCTTGTCCACTTACCCTCCTCTCTGGACTCAGTCTCCCCTCCCCCCCATACCCCTCCACCAGTGCCTCATTTGCTGCCCTTCTTGCTGCCTCCAATTTCCCCTCTGCCCTCCAGGCTCTTCCTCTGTTCCTCGCTCCCCCACGTCCTGTCCCTGTCCCCTCACTCCTTCTCTGTCTCCGTCTCTGGCCACTGGCCTCTGTGGCTCAGTGTCCCCCATGCCCTGTCTCTCACCGCCCTCTACCTCTGCTTCCAATGGCATCCTGACAGAAGCCCCTGAGAAGGCCATACCTAGAAACATCTGCTGGGGGGACTTCCCTGGTGGTGCAGTGGTTAAGAATCCGCCTGCCAATGCAGCAGACACAAGTTCGAGCCCTGGTCCAGGAAGATCCCATGTGCCATGGAGCAGCTAAGCCCGTGTACCACAACTACTAAGCCTGTGCTCTAGAGCCCGTGAACCACAAATACTGAGCCCACATGCCACAACTACTGAAGCCTGTGCACTTAGAGCCCATGCTCTGCAACAAGAGAAGCCATCACTATGAGAAGCCCACGCACCGCAACAAAGAATAGCCCCCGCTCTCCACAACTAGAGAAAGCCCACATGCAGCAACAAAGACCCAGCGCAGCAAAATAAATAAATAAATAAATAAATAAATAAAATTAAAGAAAACAAAAGAAACATCTGCTGGGGCTGAGAAGTCACCCCGTAAATGTGGGACCCTCAGGTGAAGGTGGGTTTTCTCTGAGCTGGCCATCACCCTCCAGGGAGCCCCAGAGCCGGAGGCACCTTCCCAGAGCCCCAAGAAGCCTGACAGATGGGCTGGGCCATGGGGTGGGGAGCCCGCCCCAGCTCCAAAGTGTGACAAGATTTCCAGTGGCTCCCTCCCCCGTCGGATGGGGGCTCCAGGAGGTGGAAATGTGGTCAGTCCAGCCCTGGTGGGGTCCACACCAGCATCGCAGAGAGCTTGTTTGCCCCTTGGCTGGAACCAGGCCAGGAGCAAGCCCCAGATGGGCGGGGGTGGGGGCTATCACTGCTTCGGCTCCACCGACACCTCCTGCCTCTGGGGGCCGCACACAGAGCCTCTTTGGCCTGTCGGGCTAAGGGGAAGTGCCAGTGCGGGGGGCCGGCACGCCAACCTGGGCTCCCAGCAGGTGCCTCCACTCACCTTTAACTCCCCACATGGAGGAGCCCCAGGGAGAGTCCTCCTTACCTCCCCCAGGGCAGGGGTGCCGCCATCTGGCCACAGTGACCCATGTCCTTACTATGGAAGTGCCTTAGTCATAGGCTGCGAGGTCTGGCTACTGCTCTGCCACATGCTCCTTCCTCAGGTCTTTAATTCTTTAGAGGACTTTCACTCCCACGCCAGGGACCTGCCAATTCGTCTCTACTCTGCACCCAGAACAAGTGTGTAAATCACATCTAACCCCATGAGCTCCCTTGGTGGCCGACTCCTTTGGCTGGCTAAGCCAATAACCCCATTCCAACACCCCTCCCTTCCTTCTTCCACCTTAGAGACTGGAAAAACTAAATATTCCTTTCCACAGTCTCCCACAAGGTCCCAGTGGAAACAGATGTCTGATAGGTAGTTTCTTGGGAAGACTTTATTTTGTTCCTGATAACAGGAACATGTTCAGTTGGCATTATCCTTTCCCACCGTCTGCCTTCTTCTAGTCTTGGATACAGATGTAATGCCTAATCCTTAGCAGCCATCTTACCAACATTAGGCTATGAGTTGAATAACACCTAAATTGACAGTGAACAAAGATTCAGAAGCTGCGGGTGTGAGGACATGGTTGAGAAGTTGCCTCCATCCTAGACAGCCACCTCCATCCTTCTTGTGTGCTTTCAAGCCACTGTTGGTCGGATCTTCTTTTACTGCAGCTAAATGCCTTTGTAACTGATATACCTGCTTCAGACCCTCTGTCAATCTAAAACTATTCTGAAGAATCGTTTTTTAAATTAATTAATTAATTAATTTTATTTATTTATTTTTGGCTGCGTTGGGTCTTTGTTGCTGCGCGTGGGCTTTCTCTAGTTGCAGCGAGTGGGGGCTACTCTTCGTTGTGGTGTGTGGACTTCTCATCGTGGTGGCTTCTCTTGTTGTGGAGCATGGGTTCTAGGTGTGTGAGCTTCAGTAATTGTGGCACGTGGGCTCAGTACTTGTGGCTCTCAGGCTCTAGAGCGCAGGCTCAGTAGTTGTGGCACAAAGGCTTAGTTGCTCCGCGGCATGTGGGATCTTCCTGAACCAGGGCTCGAAGCCGTGTCTGCTGCACTGGCAGGCGGATTCTTAACCACTGCGCCACCAGGGAAGCCCCCAGAATAGTTTTAGATTGACAGAAAACTTTTTTGCTTTTTTTTTTTTTTTTTACAATAAACACTGTTTGTTATCATGGAAACAGTATGTCAGGTTTTGTCAGTACAATCAAATCACACTTAAATTATCCGAATTATGAAGGCTTTGAGCTCATACCTATCCACAAGAGCTTTGGACCTTCAGAGGGTGTCCCAGTTAGTTTCATGTTTTCATATCATGCTTACTCAAGAGCAAGTATTTTCTTTCTCTCCCCTTCCTGCTTGAAGTCTCCCAGTCAGTGCTGCTGCCCGGGGAGGCACCTGAAGGAGTCTCACCATGACCCCATTGATGGTGCCCTAATGAGTTCACCAGTCTCCTCACCAAGGGCACAAGCTCCCCAAGCTCCCCAGACTGCCTGGGGAGTGTGGAATTCTACCTGAAGGTGGAGACAATGGATTTCCCAGCTCCAAGCCAAACTTTGCTGCCTGTGCCCAGGTCGTTGTGCTCATAGTATCACAAAGTTGCTCATGGGAAAGATGACTGGGCCTGTGAGTATGACCTTCAAGGTCTGCAACCTTAGACCTCACATGATGACACCAGGCAGACTGGCAGGCAGCTAGCGAGTAAGAGCGTAACCAGGGCATGGGGGAAGGTGGTATGTGTCAGACTGTGGGGGCTGTGTTCATCTGCATCACCACTTGACCTTGACCCAATGGGCCTGTGTGTCTGATTTCCTGTTGGCAGCTACTGAACAATCACACACAGGCAAACCAGGACAAATGCCAGTTTTCAGGGACACAGTTGTCTCAATTCTTACTGAGGGGGGAATAATCACTTTCACAGAACATAGTCTGTTTTGCTGGTTCTTTCTCATTTCCCCAACCTCTATGTGATTGATGCCCCAGCATCATATCTGGGGCTTCTCTTCTCCTTCACCTACTTGTATCCATAGGTGATAGCATCTGGTGTCATAGCTCTACACACCACCCATCGAGGTGACTCCAGAGTTCTCTCCCTGCGTGTCCACTCAACTAATCAACATCCCCTTGTAAATATCATATAGACATCTCATCCTTAAGGTGACCCCAAATGAATCTCAGTATTCCCTCTCAAACTTGCTCCACTGGCAGAATTTCCATCTCAGCACAATGCAGCAGTCCTTCCTTCCAACTACTCAGTTTGGGAACCTTGGAGTACTGACAACACCAAGTGTTGGCGAGGATGCAGAGTTCCTGGAATGCTCACATGTTGCTGGTGGGAGTGCAAACTGGTACTGCCCCTGTGGAAAACATGCTGACTGTTTCGT